CAGATGTGAGTAGCTTAGAACTTCTGGCCTGTTTTCTTACATCAAGTGGGACTTAAGCCAAGTACATGACATTTTAATGTCTTCGGGAAGTAGAATCCACTGAGAAATGAAGATTTAGTGATTCTTTACTACCAGTGAAGTCTTGAGGCACCCCCATACCTGAATACCCATATCTCCTGCCAAGCTGATTGAGTCATAAAACGTTGAGCAAATTTGCAGCATGGGAAGACGCTGGAGGACGTGGGGTCAGGGATGCTCATCCAGGTTTCCTTCCATGGTGCCGGCCCTTGATGCACCGGTGCACCTTGGGCACTGCTCTCTGCGGGGCTGGCCCTCCTGGCCCACTGCAGGCAGCTCCCAGCACTCCCCAGCGGGCTCCCACTTCTGCAGCTGCCATAGCCTGAGCCCGGTGTGTGCGACCTGGCCGAGGGTGCCACACCGGATGGGAAGGGCCGTGGGCCTCCCATGTGGTGGGGGGTAACTCAGAAGCTCATCTGGCGGGGCCGTTCCATTTAAACTTGGTCCACTCACCTTGTCTGCCTGCTGCCTGCCATGTGATGCTCCTTTGTTCCCCTCGCTCTCTAATTGAAATCCATGTCTTGACGTGCCAGCTACGTGGCAGGTAGGAAGCACAGCTTTCTCGTGAACACCATCTAGGCTCATGTATGCAGTGCTGTGGGGTTATGGGTTCTCCCTCCATGTACGTAGGTAGGGCATCGTGGCCTCATTAACAGGTGTTTTAGAAGTTTGCTCTACATTATATGGTCTCATTCATTTGGGGAATATAAGAATTAATTAAAGGGAATAAAGGGAAAGGAGAGAAAATGAGTGAAAATATCAGTGAGGGTGACAAAACATGAGAGACACCTAACTGGGAAACGAACTAGGGGTAGTGGAAAGGGAGGTGGGCGGGGAGTGGGGTGACTGGGTGATGGGCACTGAGGGGGGGCACTTGGTGGGATGTGAGCACTGGGTGCTATGCTCTATGTTGGCAAATTGAACTCCAATTTAAAAAAAATAAAAATTTAAAAAACCTCAAAAAGTAAAAAAAAAAAAAAAAAAAAAAAAAACAGTTCTAGAGCCTCTCCCCACATGTCCTGATTTGGGCTGAGGGGCACATGTGAAATCCAAAATACTTCCACAGTGGAACATTCTTTCTCCAAGTCCTGGAAGAGAAGAGGTCAGGGCTACGTCCCCAAACAGGTCACGACTCCAGGACAACCTCACTCGGGGCTCTCTTTCTCACTGGCGTTCCGGGGACTTCCCCTGGAGGGTGTTGTCCGGGGATTGCCAACAATTGCATATTTCTTGAAGAAACCCTTAAACCACATATGATTGCCTGTTTGCTCTCGTACGGTGTGCCCAGTGCTCTCTATTGTCATCTGTTAAAAAAAAAAAAAAAGCCCAATCAAGCCAAAGTCATTGGTCTGCCCTAGCCAGCCCTCTCGTGCCAGGTTGAAGTAAGGCTGGGCCGGGGTGCGTCCAGTGTCTCAGTGTCGGCCTCAGGGTGGCTCTTGTTGCTGATGAGTGGCATCCTGAGAGCAGGTCTCAGCGACGCCGACGTGTCCCGTTTCTGCGCTGTCCCCACGGATTGCAGGACAGTGGACTTGCCGGCTGGCCGGCCGTCGGCTCTGGGCCCTGCCTGATGCCTGCCCACGGACAGGTGCGCGGTGCCGTGGTGGCGGGAGGCAGGCTCCCAGGGAGGCTGGGGCGTGGGCCTCCGCGAGCGTGGGCCACGGAGCCCGTAATCAGTGGGGCTTCGGGGCTGGTGGGGAGGGAAGCCCGGAGAGACTCCTCCGTAATCAGCGTGGCCGCCGGCGAGGCTCGCTGCCGTCCCACCGCCGCTCGCCGCAGGGCCGTGCACGAGGCAGGGCTGCGGGGAGGCAGGGCAGAGAATAAATTTCGTTTTATTGTAGAAATGGAAATTTGTGTCATGGCTTTAAAAATCTGGTTTTATGTGTGTGTTTAATGCCATTCATTTTAAATGTAGTATCATAAATCCTTGCTTCAGAAGCAAAGCTGTTTAATTACATTTCACCCATGAATAGTTACCTAATGCCAATAGAGAAAGAGTTAAAAAGGAGACCTACAGAGTAAATCAGAGGTTGAGATCTTTAGCACAAGCATAAAAAATCAATTTAAGATGAATTTTACTACTATAAAAATTCTTCAAATATCCTTTTAAGAGTTGGAAATGCTAGTAGGGACACAGCTCCCATTCGAGTCCCTCAGCCACGTGGAAGACACGGCCACCAGCCTGGGTAGGGCCTCCGGTGCCCAGACGCCCTCGTGGCACTCAGGAGCCTCCGACGGAAGCAGGTGGCCGGTGGGTCCTGAAGCCCTTGCTCCTTGGTTTGGGTTGCCCGGTCTCCCGTGGTGTGTGCCCCTGGCCCAGGGACCCCATCGGCCACGTGGGTGATGGCTCAGAGCACCCCACAAGCTCTGATACCATCTGTGGCCATGATAGGCTGGCCTTGGACAGTCCCTGGGGGACAACATGGGCATCCAGGCGGTCCCTGCCCCTCTCCTGCCTCCTCAGGAGGGAAGGCCCCCATGGGCTGAGAGCGGGGATGTGTGCACCTCACCTGGGTCTACCTCCCGTTTGGGCAGGCGTCACACAGATTGCTGCCTGCTGGTGGCCCAGGCCTTCGCGGCCACGCTCTCCCCCCAGGGGGCGTTGGCCTTGCTTCCTGGCAGTGGCCCCAGGCTCTCTGCAGCGCACCCCTGCTCTCCCTCCACCCCCGGGGGGACGGCCGGGCACCTGACGCTGCTCCCCACCCTTGTTTCCAGTATTGTCAGCGCGTGTTTATTTGTGCGGGAGGAACAGTGTGGGGACAGAGGGACTGGACTTGCTCGAGTTGAATAATGTTTGAGGGGCACCTGGGTGGCTCAGCAGTTGAGCATCTGCCTTTGGCCCAGGACGTCATCCCGGGTCCTGGGATCGAGTCCTGCATCCAGCTCCCCGCAGGGAGCCTGCTTCTCCCTCTGCCCATGTCTCTGCCTCTCTCTCTCTCTGCCTCTCTCTGTGTCTCTCATGAATAAATAAAATCTTAGGAAAAAAATATGAAGGATGTTTGAGCCGGGCATGGGAAGTTTGACCCCTTCCCCGACCAGATGTCCTGATGGAGAGAGACCAGGGCAGGGAGGAGGTGCTGTGTCTACGCCCAGGAGCGTCTTTGCGAGGCCCTTGAGCTGCTCCGCTGGCTCCGAGGTGCCCCTCTATTGCTCTGGGGTCCAGGCCGGCCACGGGCCCGTCCACAGGAGTTCCCGCCCACGGAGATCTCGGGAAGGTGGTGGCTCTGGGGCCTGCTCTGTCCATCGGGGGTCGGCAGGATGGCTGGACTGTGGCCAGCGCCTCGGGGTGTGTGTCTGTCGTCCCTCTCTGCCTGTTTGCGTCCGTGGGCTCAGTTCTTTCTTCCTTCTGTCTGGTCCCTCATTACCACTGTCCACGTGCAAGTGCTTAGACAGCCTTCCCTGATCCACTGTCTGTTCTGTGGAAAACAGCATAAAGGGTGTTTCTGTGCATCCCAAACAAGGAAGCTTATTTCTGCAAAGATCCAAGGCCATCAGTGGAGACTCTCATTTCCACGGAATGCCAGGCATGAGAGACTAGGACTCCGGCATAGGATCGTGTGCAGGACCTGCTTAGAGGTCGTCAGGGGTTCTCTGGGGTTCTCTGCAGCTCTAGCGTGAAGCATACCTGCTTCCAGATGTGCAGCGGCCTGTGCGTGCCGGTGGCCTTCTCACACAGGCGGCGTCAGGCTGCGCTCTTGGGGACTTGAGTCTCACTGTTGTCCCTGCATTGGGCCACATGGCCCAGTGAGTAGTGACCCTCGTAAGGCTGCTGCATACAAGGTGAAAAAGGCAGGCTGTGGACTGACACCCTCGCACGCATCCTCAGCACACAGGGTGAGCCTGCACCTCCCCTGCCCCCGAAGCTTCAGTAGCAGAGGATACTAGACAGGCTGTGCCCTCCAGGCCTGGAGCCGCTAGGAAGCCTGCTGCCTGTCCAGGGCCTTGGAGGGTAAGGAAGGAAAGTCAGCTGAAGAAATCAGATGTGGTGCCGGTGCTTTGGTGGGTGTGGGGTCCTGGGAAAGTGAAACGAAAACTGGATCCATCGTGAAAGCGTAGGGCTCCGAAGCAGCAAGAGTAAAGCCTCTCCGTGGGGATCTCCCCAGAGACCCAGCACCTGCCAAAAGTAAGTCAGCTCTGTGAGAGGCGGCTACTGGGTCCCTTGGACAGAGGAATTAGACCCCGAGGGCAAGGAGCAAACTGAACGGAGTCTCAGGTATGTTGGTTTAAGTTTAAGGAGATAAAAGGAAGAAAGTGACCATAGTGATTGAACAAGGGAACTGGAAAAAAAAAAAAAAAAAACAGAAGCCAGAGCACAGTGACTGACGTGAGCCTCGCAGGACGACGGGCACACGGATTAGACACTGCCGCGTGAGACTCTGTAGGCTGGAAGCAGACCCCAAGGAAATCCCCCAGAACGCAGCTCAGAGCGGTGGAAAATCCTGAATGTGCTGTTGTGTTGAAATTCAGTGGGGTTGGGAGGGGGTTGATGAAAATGCAGGTGAATTACTTTGGTAATATTTCTGTTAAGTACTTTTGATAACACATGGCGATTTTACAGAGGCGCGACAGAGACCCACGTGCGCCTGTGAGTCTTAGGAAGGGGCAGCCACATGCCCACTGGAGCCACTTCTGTGCTTGTCATCCTGGCTCTGCCTGTCCTGCCAAATACAGGAGCCTGTGTACTAGGCTGTTCCTTCCTGGAATCACCTCTCGCTGTCAAAGATGAGTTGTGTTTCTTAAAGCTAAAGGTGGAAACGTGGCTGGAAGGCACCCCACGCCCTCCCACAGGCACCTGCCCACTGCTGCGCCGCGCAGCGGGCACACATCCCGGGGAGACTGCTATGGACTTACACTTTTCTGTTTGCTTTTCACACATGTGGATGCAGGGCCGGAGGTTTATTATGCGCCTGTTATCACTTTTGCAGACCCGCGGAGGCCCCCGCTCTTCCCGAGCTGCTCGGCTGTCCAGAGGAAATGACGGAGCCGCTGGTGCAGTGCGTGGCCTGGCTGGATGCCTATTTCCGTGAGCCCTCGGTCCTCCCGGGCCTCCCCTTGCCCGCGATTCACCATCCCATTTTCCAGCGAGGTCAGTAACTCCGCCGCCTCTTAGGGTTTTGCTCAGGGAGCTTGACTGATGAACTATCACTTACATCGCAGCCCATTTTATCGACTACACTGACTTGGTATTTTTACATCATCTAAACAGAGACAGCATGTGGCCACACTATAAGGACAAGAGTTCACGATCTCCACCCATTCCAAATGCTTGTGTTAGTTTTGGCTCATGGTCACATAATTCTTGGCAAAGGCAGTAAAAATGATGCATGCAGATCGACTCTTGACTCTTGTTGGCTGAAAGGTTTAAATGGGAACACATCTGAATAGCAGGGAATTTTTCAATAAGCTTATTGTTAACTTAAACTATCTGCTTGCCAACAGCACAGAAAATGAGGCTTGTACATGGACAATTAGCCACTTCCATAAACTCGGCTGGTGACATTTACATCAGAGTGGGTAGCGGCGTTGTGTTGTCGCGGATAAGTTTTCGGTCTCATTTCTCAAGCTTGCCGTAGTTGGATACCGTGTTCTTAAAGCACGAATTGAGAACTCATTGCCTAATGTAGCCGGCTAAAGGCACATGGTCTGTGGTCGCCGAAAAACATTTTCCCAGACGCTTCCTTTTAAGTTGTTTGTGCCTTAATTATGTCAACTAAAATTACTCTAGACACACAGCAGAGGTTTCTTTGGCATAGTAGTGATTTTTTTTTTTACTTATTTTAATATAGATGCGTGTGTGTATACATAAATATGTAGATGTGTGCACACGTATACTCAAGGGAATAAAAACTACCCTGAGATTTTTAGGTAAGGCAAATTTAGGGGATCCTGGGTGGCTCAGTCCGTTGAGCATCAGACTCTTGGTTTTGGCTCAGGTCGTGACCTTGGGGTGGTGAGATCGAGCCCCACGTTGGGCTCTGTGCTCAGCAGGGCATCTGCTTGAGATTCTCTCTCCCTCTGCCACTCCCCCTAAAATAAGTATATCTTTAAAGTAAAACTTAAAGCAATCTTGAGTTTCAAAACCGAGCATCCTAAATATGTTTAATGGCGTTCTAATAGCTGCCATGAGTTTTAGCAAAAAGGAACTTAAAAGTAGAGTAGAATTTTCAGGGGCAGTGACTAGAGAAGCTCCTAGAAAGCTGAGCTCACACCTGAGTTGATTAACAAGGTCAAACAAGTGAACAGATAATACCTTGAGCATTTTCGCACATAATGAACTGAAACGCTACAAGTGTAATGAGCAGGGCCCCCTATTAGCCCCCTGCATCGTTCAGACGGTCTCCAGGAGGGGTGTGGGAGCTCCGGTGGGCCTTGGCACATCGATGTGCACACGTGCTGGGTGGGCCCGGTGTCCGGGGAGGGGTGAGGGGGGCGCAGCCACTCCATAGTAGTGGAGCCAACTGGCTGCCCTGAGGCTGCAGGGGACCTGGCGTGGCCACAGGACTCAAATGTGGCTTCATTTTTTTTTTTTTTTTTTTTTTTTTGTGGCTTCATTTCTGAAGTAGGGGCTGGGAAATCCTGGTGCCCTGAACTCCTCCGTCCGCTGTCGCCACGTGGAGAGCACTGCTGTGCCACTGGGAGCAGGAATTGCCCGGCTGGCTTTCCCCTCTTTGAGTCCGTTGAATCTTGAAGCAGAGATTTAAGGCTTTGAAATTTTCAAGACAGAAAAATTAGAAAACCCAAGCAGGGAAGGGGGAGGTGGGAAGTGAGCTTATAAAATCCTGAGGTCCTCAGTGTTTGAAGAGGGTTGGGACTGGCCACCCTCACCCCGCCTCCCTGGCACCAGGCCTGCACCAGGCCATCTCCTCGTTCGACCCCCACGGTCAGTGTGGGTGACCAGAATGAGCCGGAAGCCACTGCTGGGGTGAGGACGAAGGCCATGCAGCCCAACCTGGAAGGCCTTCCCTGGCGGACAAGCCCCCACGGTGCTGGCAGGCACTTCCAACTGGGGCCAGGTCCTCCTAGCACGGTTTGGGGGAGACAGCCTCCAGCACCCTCCTGGGGGCAGGGTCCCCCGGGCCGGCCCCGCCTCCTGGCGGTTAGTGGTTGCTGCGGGCCAGGGTTTCCCACGCCTGAGCATGTGCAAGCCAGGTTTTTCTAATTTAGCTCAATCACTTACTCCCAGGCCAGGACCAGGTGTGGGGATTTTACGGTTTAAGAAGGGAGGTGGTGGCTGGTTATAATACAATTGCTAACACGGAGTTAATTGGCACTAACCCCCAGATGTGGTGACACCCGTTTCTATCCAGTGGTGGTTGGCCTCGCTCTGTTTCTACTTTGTATCTTGTAGCACCAGTGAAATCACGGTGAGGGCAGGTCCCTCACCACGCGAGGAAAAATCTTTTGGCAACCTCGGAAACCTCTAGAAACTGGGCGCTAACATAAAGAAAGAAACTCTTGCAGATTAGGAGGCATGGTACTTTTTAATGTGGAATACGTGGTTTTGTTTTTTCAAAACGAATCGTATTTTCTGTGCATCTTAATTTTTGGACACGTTTAACGTGCGTTTGCGTAGCACGTTTTCAGCATGGTCCTGCCTCTGCAGTTTAGACCAGGTCGGCCTGTTTCGTCTTGTTGTAAAACCATAATCCTGACCGAGCTCACCCTGGAGCTCCAGCCCTTAACCTGCCCGTCCTCAGGCATGGCCTGTACCACGGGGGAGCCCCTGGGGGCCAGGCCCCCCTGCATTCCAAGGGCCTCTCTTGTCCGTAGGCAAGGCTGCTTCGCCGTTTCAGGATCTTTCATGAGATGAGCATGCTCTTCACCACTGGTTCATTTGTTAAGGCTGGTCACCCCCGTGCGCAGAGGTAAGCCATACGAGATTGCAGTTTTTGTGGGTTAAAACTTAACAAATACTGGAAATTTCACATAGTTCAACTTCTTATCTTGGACATCTTCCCAAGTTGGATTGTTAACAAGTTAATTGTCTGCGGTTTTGTGCCAAGGAGCCGAGAAGCTGTCTTTCCTGACCAGAAGTCTGGAGGTGTGTCTGGCCGCCTCTTGGAGCCACTGCAGGGCGGGGGGGGTTCTCCGTGGGACAGGGGCTGCGGCTACTGGGAGTGAGGTTCACGTGCTGCTCAGGAAATGACGAGAAAAGTGCGTGTTGGATAAGCTGTATTTTAATTTTCTTATGAGCTTGTGTTTTTAGTGGAGGGCATCTCCTAAAACAAAAAAAAAATGTGTGTGGGGTTTTTTTTGTTTTGTTTTGTTTTTTGTTTTTTGTTTTTTTTTTTTTGAGTTTTGGGGTTGCTTTTTGCTAATCTGCTTTATTGAAGTAGCAACAGGGCCATTTATTGTTGCCACTGTGATGGAGAGCCAGCAGTCTTGAGGCGTAATGAAGCAGTTTAGGGAGTCAGGTGCTCCCCTCTCAAGTTCTCGCAAAGGTCAACGTTAGTTTAGAATTAGAGTAAGAATTCAGTTTTTTCTCCAAGAAATAGTTATTGAATGAAGCCATTGGTCTTGAGATAAACCTTAATGTTCCTTTTATAATGAAATACTATTTAAAGTTCTTTCCTGTTAATATTTTCTGGCTTTATATTTACTTATTAAAGATATTGTAGGGGATGCCTGGGTGGCTCAGCGGTTTAGCGCCTGCCTTCATGATCCTGAGGTCCTGGGATGGAGTCCCACGTCGGGCTCCCTGCATGGAGCCTGCTTCTCTCTCTGGCTGTGCCTCTGCTTCTCTCTCTGTGTGTCTCATGAATACAAAAAATAAAATCCTTTAAAAATAAAATAAAGCTATTGTAGCGCCATTGCACAATATGCATCTTCATGTACCCTTCGTAGTCTGTGCTAAAGCAGGTAAAAAAAATACAAGTAGCAAAAAAAAAAAAAAAAAATACAAGTAGCACCTTGCCAGAAGCAGTACTTCACAGAGTTCAGGAAAAGCAGACCCAGGGGAAACTGAGACCAGCCTTCAGATTCAGGATGTGTGTGCAGGCTTTCTTCCCCTCCTCAGCTGTCCCGCGTGTCGAGGTACCAAGAGCAGGCGGGTGCCCTGACAGGCTGGGGTGGGGGCTCCCTCCCCAGGTGTCCCCCCAGACCCCACAGGAGGCAGCCCCACAGACCAAGCCTCGCGCCGCACAGGGCGGTGTGAGCCCTGGGGTGTGGACGGTGGTGGACCCCAGCTGCTCCTTCCAGTGTCGTCTCACAGATGATGGTTTCCAACAGATGAGTTCTGAGTTTTCTTTTCAAAGTGACTGCAATGTTCCCTTTTAAATGAAATATTTAACACTTTAATAATTCCTTCGTCACAGCTATTAGCTTGTAGCTATGAAATCCAGTTGCATGACAGTAGTAAAATCTGCATTTGTTAAACCTGCTGGCGAGTAGGTTTTTTTTTTTTTTTTTTTTTTTTTTTTTTTTTTTTGTAACTTCTCTCAGGAAGCCTCAGAAAGGATTCTCGTATTTGTGTATCTCAGTTGAACACCCTCTTTCTGACGGGGCTCTGCTGAAAGCCCTGCCAGAGAGTTACAGGAAAGGCCTTTCCAGGGTGAATTAATTAATTTGCCCACTGTGTCCTGGAAGACAGCCCCACTGTGCCGGGCGCCTTCCAGTGGAGGCCTTGTGAGTCCTGGAAGGCGGTTGGACCACGAGGAGGTGAGTAGCATCATTACCTCGGGTCCTCACCAGAGACAGCTCTTTAACATTAAAAATCCATCTCAGAGAGCCAAGCAAGAGCTAATCATGCCAACCTCAAGCCCTCTGTTCCCGAGCCCCCAGCACAGCCCTTTTGGCCTCCCGGGTGCTGCTCACGTCCAGGAAATGACAGCGCGCCCTGCCACCCCGGGAAGGCTGTCTCCCAGGAAAGAAGGCCCCAGCCCTCTTCCCGTAGTGTCCCATGGCCAGTTTTGCTGTTCTTCACGTTGGCTCCTGTAAGTCCTGCATAGAGCCTGAGCCCATCTGCAGTGCGTGCTGCAGCAGAGACGGAGGGTTTTTCCTAGCCTCCCCTGCATATCCACAGCAGGAGGCAGCTTTGTGCATTCACCAAGTTTGTACTGTTATTTTTCCCTGTCCTTAAAAAAAAAA